CGCTCTTCCCAGCGGGAGAGGTTTCCGTCCTGTCCTTCGGCTCCCCGCTCCGATGAGGAGGATGAGGACGCGGGGCCTTGCAGGGGATCGGGGTGGCACCGGGTGTCCTATTTATCCCTTCAGCTCCAAGTCAAGTTTCCTCTTGGCTTTTGCCCGGATTGGGAGCGGTGCTGGCGGCACCGGGAGAGCCTCGCACCGCTCCAGGCTGTATCCTCAGGCACAAGGGCCCAAGTAATCGGGATTCCCCCGATCCTCTCCCTTCTCAAAGGCAGGTACATGGGCAGAAGCAGCACAGCAGCTTGATATGAGGGTTTTATGACTCGGTCATCATAAATAACCCGTATCGTTTGCTTCCTCCAGCTAGAGAAAAGTGCTGTTCTATCCCAGGAACACCAACTGGGGGAACAAACGCCAGCATTTATCATGTGAGTGCCGGCAATAATAGAGGTCAAGTGGATTTATGGTGCCAGAGCCCATTATCCATCCGAAGAATAATTAAAGCGCTAAATGAGCTGCTTGTCCTCCAGGAGGTGGAGGTGGAGCTTCCTCTTTTCTTGCTGCTGTGCTTTTTTGCCCCGTTTTGAAGTGCTTGCTGTAATAACGGAGCTCTGGGTTGGCAGCGATTTCCTGATGAGAGGTCGAGAGCGGGTGATGTGAGATGCTCTGCGTCCTTTCGTGGTGCTGGACCATCTCTCCAGCCACTTCTGAGCTCAGCGGGGTTTATAAACTTGTCTTTCCTTGAAAAAAAGAAGGTCCTGAGCTGCTGGGGTCTGTATAAACCCTGGGAAGAAGCTGCCCAGGGGTCAGGCTGCTGCTGTCTCAGTTAAAGATACAGAGAGAAATGAAATTAGGAAAAGGCAGAGCCTTGGACCTGGTAAAACGCAGGTCGGGCTGCAAGGAGCTCCTGGAGGGGCTACTGCCCCTTTCCCCTCTAGTTGTGTCTAAAAATTTGGAGCCTCCCTCTGCCCCGGAGGAGGATCCTTCCCGCGGGCATCAGCACGGAGCTGGGGTTTGCAGGGCAGGGGCTGCAGGTGGACATCAAGGGGATATGGAAAATCCACAGGGAAAAGCAGGCAGCAGGTGTGTGCGTATGGAACCATGCAGGGCCTGTCCCCTTGCGAGAGGAAGGAGGTGGGAATATCCAGGGAAGGTTGCATGGATGCCCCAGGGCAAGAGGAGGGGAGAACAGAGGGGAAAAGGAGGGTGTGAGGGGAGAGAGATGGGGCTGTGCTCTGTGTTCCCTTCCTTCCCAGTAACTTTCCTCCCTTCCCAAGTTTTGTTGCTTCCTGCCAGGCTGGGAGGTGACTCGATCCACTTTGAAAATCCTGGAATGTGAAAACGGTTAAACTCCTCCAAACTGCAAAGTGTGAAAGAAAAATCAGAAAAAAAAACTTGCTTAATGGTGGCGTTGAGATCACAGGGGGAGGAGGGAGAGTTTTTTTCTGGGAAAAAACATTTTAAAGAGAAACAAGAGGGCTGAGCACGGAGAAGAACAACATCTGAGGAGCTCGGGAAAGCAGGGCATGAATGCGGGCAGTCAGGAGCCGCGCTCAGCTGATGTTCACAAGAAGGGCTCGGCTCGCGCCGGCCGCGGCCTCGGCGAACCTGCGAGACAGAGCGAGCATTTAGAAATGCCCCTGAGGTTTTCCGCTGCTCCGCGGCAGGCTCGGTAAACACGCCAATAAATACCGGAGAGAAAGAAAAAAAAAAAAAAAAACACCCTTGCAGGGGAACAGAGCCGGGTTTTCAGCTGCTCCATCCGCTGCTGCTGTTGGTTGGAGTTGGGGCGAGAGACGGGGCCGGGGTTGAACTTCCACGGAGTTTTCGGCGGAGTTGCTGCTGTTCCTGGGAGAAGCCCCTTGGAGGAGGCGGGGGCGGCGCCGGGAGTCACGCTCCGAGATGGGGGATTAGCGGGACCGGCGCCGCGGGTGCTCGTGAGTACGGAGAGCCCCGCGGCCGGGCTGGCGTGTCCGGGGGGAACGGGAGACGCGGCGCAGGGAATTGCACCGCTCCGGGGGGGATTCCGGCCTTCGTGCTCTCCCAGCTCCACCGAGCGCGGGGTCCAGGTGGGGACAGAGGAAGGGCGGCACCAAAACTGCCAAAAAACACCCTGTTCTGCTGCCCTAACTGCTGCGCCCGTCTCGGCTGCCTCCGTGTATTAAATTAACCCCGGGAAAGGCAGGTTTACTCCGATCGGAGATTAATGCTTTCTGGCTGGCAGTTTTAACGCTATTGCGAGCACAAGAGCACCTGGGGACGGAGGTGTGTGACTAAGGGCTCGCTGGAACGATCCATGCGTATCTCTTTGGGCGCACCGTCCTCCTTCCTGCTTCCCAGGAAGCGCTGCCGTGACCGAGGGCTCGGGTGGTGGGAAAGCAGGGGGGTCCCTGCGGGACAGGGACCGGCTGTGCACAGGGGGCCCTTCCATGGCTCTTTCCCCTAGTTCTTTTGTCCTTGTGACTGCACGGAGAAGCTCAAGGTTGTGCCTTGGATGCATTCTTGAAGGCCGAAACATGCAGATATGGGGCAGCCCCGCAGAATCACGAATCTCTCTTTCGGTTACGGCCGTTTCCAAAGCTGGAGCTGATGGTCGCGCCGTCTGCAGCAGCGGGGTTTGTTCCTCCCGATTCCCGGGATTTCGTTCTCTCCAGGTTGCGGCATCCCCCCCTTGCTGGTTCAGTATCCAAAGCCTCGCGTAGCCAAAGCTGCTCCCGATCCTGCTGCAAAAGCGTCTGGGGAAAAAACCCCAAGCGGATACGGAACAAAACGCTCCCGATGCCACGGATGGCGCAGCGGCAACATCCCGCAGCCGAGGGCCGCGGCTCTGCGCCGGGCCGAGGTTGGGACACCAGGCACCTTGTCTTGCAGGGGCCAGGCCAAAGAGGAGCCAGCGCAGCAGCATGGACAGCCTGGACCTCCTGCAGTTCCCCTCGGAAAAGGTAAGCGGTGGCCGTGGGATTTGTCATGCTTGGTCCCCAGGAGGCTGCCGCTCAGCCCTCTCAAAATGTCATTGGTAAGAAATCACTTGTCCTCATCTGTCCCTTCCTGTTTCCAGCTCTCCTAAGCGCTCCAAGGAGTATTTCCCCTTTCAGGAAAGCATGAAAAGCTCCCTGGAATTGCAGATGGGTGCAGGGGATCAGTGGGACCCAGCACTGAGTTTGGGTCCCTAAAACATCCCCTGGGTGCTCTGCTTGCAGCCGCGACGCTGCTCCCGCGCGCCCTGCTCCCCTCCTCCTGCTCTCGTCTCCCTCCTCGTCCCGAGCTCCTCCGTTTGCAGCTCCCAGCTGGTTCCCCCGTTCCCTTATCCCGTCTCTGCCACGCTAAAACCTGCCTTCCCGGCTGGATCTCACCCTCGAGGCGCCCACGCGTCGTGACTGCCCCCCGGCAGCAGCGTGGGCCGGGCACAGGGTGCCAGCGGAGCCGGAGCCAGCGCGGCCCTCGTGCCAAGGCTCCTGCGCCCTGGGCGAGGGCAGTTTTGCCACGGTGTTTGCAAGGGGTTTTAGCGAGCGTGGCTGCCAAAACTCGCTAGCAGCAGCGGCTGTTTTAGAGCTTTCATCTGCCGTTCCCTCTGTAAATAAACCGGCCGTGCCTCTCGCTCCGCACCTGCGTGTTTTAAAGGATGTTTCTCCTGGCTGCGGAGGAGCCGGCTTCCTTGTGTGCTGTTTGCGTGATGCTGCTTCTGCAGTTATTAAATTACCTGCCAGGGAGGTGCAATGCGTCCTGCTTGGCCTCCCCGTGTCCCGAGCATCGATCCATGTCACCCAAGGGTGCTGCCCCTGCGCCTCTCCTGCCCCCAGGCCTTCCCGCTCGAGCAGCGTTTGCAACAACCGTTTCCTGGCGCCGAACGAAGGTGCCCAGGGTCCAGCGCGTCGCCGCTGGACGCGAGCGAGGTCCGAGTCCAGGTGTCACCAGCGGTAGGAAGATGCTCCTTCCCCTGTGCTCAGCGCGGTGCTTCCAGGATGCTCCTTCCTGCCTGGTTTATAGGGATCCGGGGTGGCCGCGTGGCACAGGTCCTGCCCGGCTCTGCCGTGGCACTTCGGGAGCTGCAGGCAGGTCGGTCCCCTGTTCCGTGCCCCCGTTTTGGCACGTTGCTTCCAGGAAAAACAGGGCCCTTTCCAGGTTTTTGCAGATGATCCAATTGATCCCGGAGCCTGGGATCGCAGCCGCAACCACCACATGATTCTGGGTGGTGGGAGGGGGCCAAGAGAGGCTTGAACTCGGGCATTACGAGCCCTGTAATCTTGGAGTGAATCCAGATGGGATAAACCCAAGCCAGGAAAGACAGGCCCTATAGTCCCTACTACTTTTCTTGGTATTTAACAAAAGCAATAGGAAATAAAATGTTTCCAAGTTGGGTAGGAAAGCAGCTGAGCTGCAGGGCTTGGGATGGAGCCTGCCCATGGCCTGGGATGCCTGGAAGTGTTTTGGAGCAGAGGGCTCTGGTTTTGGTCTGCTGGCTGCGTGTGCACGTGCACACGTACGGGTATTTACACACGTGCATCCTTTTCCAAGCACAGACCTGTCCTGATTTCCTGATTTTCAGTTCTCCTCCCTGACTGCTACAGACGGGATTTTTGCCCCGTTTCTTCAGCCTCCTCTGAGCTGATTCCCAGCAATGCCTGTGGCAATGGTCTAACAGGAAAAGCATTTCCTGCCGCTCACCGGCGCAAACATGATCACGGAGAGGGAAAACAAAGCTCCACCGAGGAGACAGCAGCGTGGGGGCATCTGAGGGAACACAACGGCAGAGAAAAAAAACCACTTCTGCCAGAAATAGCCCTGTATTTTTAACTCAGACGTTCAGCCAGAAGCCAAACACAAGCCGTGCTCCGACAGGAGCGCGGCAGAGAGCTTTCCTTGGGAACGGAGCGGGAGCAAACAGGCTGTGGCTGTAGGAAAACACCCGTGGGACGTCGCAGCCGCCGGTGACCTCGTGACAGCGACACGAGCAGTCGGTGTGACAGGGGCCCGGCTGGGCGCTGGGGACCCGAGGGGGCCACGTGTCACCAGTGTCACCTGCCCGTGGCGCGTGCGGGCACGGAGACGCGGGGCTGCTCGTGCAGGGGGGAGCAGGTCGACCCGGTGCTGCTGTCTGCTCCTTCGGCCCGCCGGGTCACAGTCCCTGTTTTCAGGGAGGACGCGAGGTTGGACCAGGGAAGAGGCTGCTCCTGGCCCCTGCAGTGTGGGATTTGGCCCTAGGATTGTCCAGCCCTCAGCACAAGCAGCAGCTCCCTTTCCCCAGGGCTTTGCTGTCCCGGGAAGGGACATACTGGGGATTGGGAATTCTGGGGTCCTCAGCTTGTGTCTGCCACAGGCCAGCCCCACACCACCTCTGTCCTCCCCATCCCGGCTCGTGCTGCCTCCCCACGGAGGTTACGGAGGCATCAGGGTGGTGGTGGCCATGGAGTCACCCGAGTGTGGGGTTGGCCACAGAGTTGCTTGAGCCGTGGGTGGAAGGAGCCGTGCTGTTGTGATTAGCGTTGGCGATGATGATGATGCTGCTGCTAATTACGGAGCCGCGGGGAAACTCCCCGTGGGAGGAGGCAGGGGAGGGCGCGAGGCCGGAGCGTGGGCAGGGAGCGGAGCCGGGAAGGGGAGCGCGGCCGCTCCGAGGGCAGGAGCCGGCCCCAGTCCGGGCGATGCCGCCTGCGCGTCCTTGGGGGCTGAGACGCAGCCTCGCTCTTTAAAGCAGCATCAAAAACGCAGGTTTTGCACCACGTGAGACTTGCTGGCATCGAAGGCTTGGGCATGGCTGTAACCCCTCTCTTCCTCCTCCTCTTTGCGACTCCCGTTCTTCACGGCCTTCCTAACCGCTGCTTTTTACAGAGGGTTATTAGGCGCGTGGGATTTTTCCCGTGCTTGAGAAATATCGAAGGCCACAACTGCAGTGTTGTTCCCTTGCGGCCCTGTGTAGCTGAGCCTCGAGGTGTCCGTGGGTTTTCTTCTCGTGTGGGTGAAAACGAGGGGGGATCAGGGCTCTAGAGATGGTCCCTCTGGCCTGGACTCTTGTGCTGCTCTGCACTGAAACGTCGCTGCTGCCCGGGAGGTGCAAAGGCAGCAGGAGCCGTGGGGGGAGGCAGCAGCATCTTCTGCCTCGCGCTGCCTCTGCCGCATTCGTAAATTATCGGTTTCTTTCTTAAATATTAACAGCTGCCAGGTAATGAATTCCCCCTCTCCGCATGATAATGGTGCTAAAATTGGGATTCGCCTCTGTTTTTGCTGTAATTATGCAGCGAGGGTGCGTGGCGGAGCGGGGGGCTCGGCAGCACCGGGCCTTGGGCCGCATGAACCGAGTCCTGCGGAGCCCCGAGAAGCTGCATCCTGGCGCAGCCCTTGTCCTGGCGCCGGCATTCCGGCTCCCGGGATACCGCCGCATCCCGCCTGGGGAGCAGGGCCGAGTGCGGGAGCCTCCATTGCAGCAGGAGCAGCCACGTGTGGATGTTTGGGCTCGGAGCGACCGGGAAGGGTCTAGGAAGGAGGCAGCAGGTCCCCAGCGTCCGCGGGTTCCGGATCTGCCGAACGGAGCTCGCCGCCGTGGTCTCTTCTGGCCGACGTCGCAGTTCCTGGCGCTCTGAAGCCGCAGTTGAGGTCTGCCCTCCTCTTTGCGCAGCCTTTTCTGCTGGCAAACTGTCACCCGTCACGCGAACGAGGCAGCAAAAGAGACGCTGTGCTCACCATTTCCCAGAAACTGTTGCTTTAAAGAGAACAATGCTAAAAAGAACGGGGGAAAAAAACGATGAATTGGAGCCAGAGCCATAAAACTCCCAATGTTGGACTTCTCCCCAAACCTGGAGCTCCTCACTCGTTTCCCGGGGCTTGGCTGTGCCTGGGGCACTTGGTATGTTCACAGATCTGGCCTCTCATGTGCCAGAACTGCTTAAAAAACCATGGCCCGGGTGCTCCTGGGTTTAAAGGAGCAGGGCTCTGCCTCGGTGCAGCTTCTCCCTGATAACGGCTGATGCTGTGGGGGCTGCAGCTTGGCCCCCAACACGTAAATGCAGGAGCAGCCGGGGCGAATCCGGGCAGGGCTGGAGCCACGAGTCCCGCAGCGGGTCCCGCATCCTGCCTGGAGCATCCGCGGCTCCCGCTGCTGCTCGCTTTTCTCCTCCCGCCTGCGTTTCCCATTAGCAGCGCTATTTCGAGGCTCCCAAAGGCAATTAACACGAATTAATCTCAAAAGCCCTAAATAGCATGTGTTTTCAGAGCCCCTGGCCCTTCCCGTTCCCCGGGGATCGCGGCTCGGTGCTGCAGGGTTGATGAGGAGACTCGGAATTAGGGTAAGGCCCCGTAGACCCTTGCGGATGCAACTTTCCCACCCTGGATCTCAGCAGCGAGCGCGGGGGACGCGCAGGGCCCCGCGGTGCGGCAGAACTGGGTGGGTTGCCCCCACCTAGGGCCGCCTGCACCCCCGTATTCTCCAGGTACCATCACACACAGACCTTCCTCTCTCTGCAATCCCCGAACGCAGGGAAGCTTCGTCCTGCCCTTCTCAAAGGGCGGCCGGGCCGGGCGCTCGCGTTTTGTGGGCGCCCCTTGCGCAACGGAGCCTCGATGCCGAGCGAGGCCGTCGGGCACGGCCGGGTAAATAACAATTAGGGCTCCGGCGTCTGCTGCAGCGCGTTGGGGCCGAGCTCGGACGTGCGAGTCCCCGGCTCCGTCCTCGGATCCGTCGTCCTCCTCCGAAGAGGCCACGCGGGAGTTGAGCCCCGTGTATCGACCTTGGCTTTTGTGCTAATTAATTGGGAATGCGGGTCGCGCTGTTTGGGGCATGGGGGGGATTTGGGTTTAGCAGATTGTTCTGCTCCGTGGGGACGGCTGCTCGGCTCCCGCCGGCCGCATCGCCCTGCTCTGCCACCCGGCTCCAACCCGAGGGCTCCGAGCAGCCAGATCCCGCTCAGAACCCGACCTTGACACGGGAAACGCTGTCAAAACCCGCCTGGAAAAGTGGCTTTGTTAACTCCAGCTGTAGCTATTTTAAGGGCTGCTTGAGCACCCTGTTGCCTCCTGAGGAGATATTGGAGTGATTTCCAGTGATTTCCATGTCACGAGTGCCCAGGTCTCTGTTGTAGCAATGGTTCCCTGAGCTGGGGTTTTGGGGGAGATCACAGCATAACGGGGAGCGATTGCAGAATTAACGAGACCAGTGCCCAAAGCGGTGAAATGTGCGCAGGGGGGCGAGCTGTTTTGGTTTTGTTTGAAGCAATGAGACTCGAGTTGTTGGAGATCTCCAAACAGAAGCAGCTTTTAGCGCCCGCGTTCGCAGGGACGAGTGGGCGAGTTGTTGAAAGGGAGGAGGAAAAAAAAATCCCTCCGTTTGAAAGCGGTCCAAGCGCAGGGGGAGAACTGCATCCCGCGGGGCCGAGCGGCGCGCGGAGCTCCGGGGGGCAGCAGGGGCTGCATCCTGCGCCGGGAGCAATGGGAACCCTCAGCCCCGCGCGCTTCCCGCACCTCCAAGCACCCTGCAAATCCTTGCGATGAGTTTGGAGCCGGGGAAAGGCGCGGGAAGCTGCGTGGGCTTCATCCCAGCCGCTCTGCCGCTCCCGGAGCGGGATGCGCCCGCGGACGGGGAGCGTTTGCGTTTTAAACCCTGCTGCAATTGGAACCACCCCCCTTCCCGGGGACACGCTTAAATGGAGAGCCCGTCAGGGGAGGTCGAAACCTCCTCGGCTTTTGCAACGGGCAAAATATCCCGCAGCGGCTGAGAGCTGCGGCAGCGTGGGGAGGGCTAGGGGAGCTACTCGAGCGCAGGGATCGGGGCTGCCCCGCGAGCTCCTTCCGCAAAATCGATCCCGACGTGTTTTTAAGGAGCCGCGTGCGCGCGGGTGGGAGGGGAGGAGGTGGGAGCAGCGCTGAGCGTTCACACGGCTCCGCCGCGCGACCGAGCGCGTCGGGGAGCGCCGA